ATAACAAATCATATTTTAAAGCAATAAATAAAAAAAATTGATGAATTATAATAAATCTTATTCGAGGAAAAGCTATAAGATTTTAAAGATAAACTTTTGTCCTTTAAAGATTAAATATAAGATATTTCGAAATTAATTATTTTAATGTAGTGATATTAAAATAAAAACTTCTTTCTCACTTATCGATCAGATGCGTAATGAACGGAGTTATTCAGCAACGATGATACTGTAACATATAAGAATAAACTTCAATTAAAGATCCGCTTAAAATGATTAATTGAAAAAATAATTTCTTATTTCTTAAGCGCAATGAATTTTTCGTTCACCTTTTAATTAAATATTTACTATATAAATATTTACTATATATATACACTCATCCCTAATTTACATGGAATCTTTCCTGTAATTTTTGTTATAGAACTGAGAATTAATTAATCACGTAAATATAGAGTCTATTAATACAAAAAAAGAATACGTAAGAGAAATACATCCGTGTATGTTGTAAAAAAATCTTTATTTTTATAGTTGTCAAAAACAACAATAATGAAAGTTTAAACAAAATTCTGCATAAACAGAAAGATTCTTTTTAGCTTTTAGATCAATTCGTGTATAAAAAGTATAGCGTAAATTGAATATAAGTATATAATACAATTATCTATTTTTCGAAAAATCCTTTAGAATAAACTTCTAGAAGAATAAACTTCTTTAAATTTTTTAGATGCTTTCTTTCTCTCTCTCCCTAATTATTAAATTATCAAGATAAAAACAGTCTAACAATAAGAAAAAAATACTAATTTTATACAGATAAGAAATGATACTCACCCCAAGGTTGCTCCGCCGGTGCCCGATACCTTTTCCAGACTTCCTCCTCCTCTCAGAAGTGGGTTGACATCCTCTCGCACAGGACACTCGCGTAAAACACTCGCGAATAATATACTATAATCGCGCGCGGACTAATTATTTGTAAAAGTCTTTCGCGCGACACTGCGATATTTACGTTTACAAAACCTATGATGAGATTGCCATTTCGATCGGTGGAATCAACACTACACGTCGACGAGTACTTGCGAAACACACGATGAATGCTGAATAAGGGTTAAGTCCCATACGAAAGAAGACGAAATCGATCGTATCGAATCCGTCACCTCTGTTTTACGCAAAATCATGTTTAAAATTGACTCAGTCATACGCCCTAACTGCTAGTTCTAGTGGGACACAAGTGGTGCTATACCTCGAGCGATTCCAAGAGACTGGTAGACGTGACAAGTACCTCTAATAAGAGTAAAGTTGGTACCATTGCCGAATGTCTAACAATCTAGACAATCCAGGAAAGGGATCCAACCCCTCGTCACGAAGCTAGTTTTTAAAAAAAAACTACTAGAGCTAGGCTCTGACCAAATCAGATTAAACGTGATTTAGGCTGGTAGATAATGACAGAGAAATAAGCGCCCTGATCAGAGTTATACAACTCTTTTTTGGGCGACCCACCAGGGCGGAATTCTATAACTCGTTATGCAATCGTTATATGCTCATAACGACTGCATAACTCGAGTTATCGAATACAGGCCCAGAGAAGAATTCGAGTCGATCGATTGTTTCTTACCGCTAAGGGCCGAACTGTTAATCAACAGACAGAGCGCGTCCTCAATTAGCCCACAGCAACAGTAGTTGCTAAACCGCGCGAACACAACATCACGAAGTGCGTGACATTACGCGGCCGGCATCACCTCGTGCCCGGAGCACTTGGCGTGAGAGCGTTGCAGTGATCGTGATCACCTCAGCAACGTCTCAATGAGAGTTTCGCTTTCCTGTCGAAACGTCGCAGATATGATTTCATCGCCGAAATAGAATTCTGTCAAATGGGTTTTGTTAAAAGTCCATTAGTCCGATAACTTTAACGGCACTCCCGAAGCAAACGCGCGACGCGACGAACCGGCTGCGGTTCGTTTACTCTCAATTAAATCGGCGGACGAGGGTACGTTAGCTTCTCCATCGTTGGATTTTTACACGAAGAAAATGATTTTACTCAATATCTAAAAATTTATCTAGATATATCTAGATATATTCAAATAGATTCGAATTTTTAGATACTTGAGAAAAATCATTCTTTTCGTGTATATCCTCGGGATACTGAGCCCTCCCACCACGTCAAGGTGTACCCGTGAGAGGGATGATATCATCATAAAATATAATAAACTATTCTTGAGACCTCCATGGATCTTTTCTATATAAAGATTATGCGTTTCGCGGGTTTCTTCCATGTCCATTCTTAGAATGGCATTCTTGGAATGGCACGGAAGAAACCCGCGAAACGCATAATCTTAATATGTAATACTCTTATCTATATATAATACTAAACAATTATTTTCACTTTTAAAAATAAGTCGAGCACACATTTAGTTTGCCACCACTGCAAAACAAATTCAGAACAGATAGAAAAGAATCTCTTATTATAATAAAAAATTAAGATATTAGGATATTAAATAGGACGAAAAGAAAGAGAAATATTCCTTCTTTTACAGGTTCTATTACAGATTTATTATTATTGTCGACAAATTTTTAAAGTTACGCTCGATTTTTATATTCGCATGCCAATCATGCAAACGAAAGCGAAAAATTAATTAAATTAAATATTATTAATTATGTACAAACTGCATTAATTATGTGAATAATTAGAATGCGTCCGAATTCAAGTATCTTTCGAAAGATAATCATTATTATTAATTTGATTTTTTCGATCTTCTCTTCTCTCTAACAAAGCTTTATGAATAAACGCACAAAGCGTTTGCTAAGCAACATTACAGTACGATAAACATTTCGATGCATTTACTAAATCACGTAGATGAATTATCTAATTGTTAATAAGGAACAATATATCTTTCCAAATTTTTAATATCATCGTAATATTCATCGCGACGCATTTCGCGGTGTAACAGTATTATGTACGAAGCGGTATGGTCGGCTACCTATCAATTCGAGTGTCGGAACGGTAATGATAATGCGGTGACCTTCCTTATAAACACCGAGCGATGTGACCTATGACGTGGCGCACAATCTATGACGCGGCGCGGCACGGCGGGTACCAACCGTTGCGCGATTACGCAGCGTCAATAATATGAACATAATAATGATAACATAATACACAGTGTTACAGAAATAATATATGTCATATATAGTGTCTATTCATCGAAATGTAAGGAGTGTAATATTCCGCCGAATGTTCTGTTCTTTATTTCAATGAATAGACTGTTATCGCATTCGCGTGCTACTTTGTGGACTCGCGTCAGCATTGTCCGAGATAACAATTCTATTCAAGCGCCTTTAAATGGAAACTCTTATCGTTTATAATAATTTGATAGGTATACAATTTTATGGATTGTATTATATGTAGGTAAATGTATAATAATAACTTATACGATATATTCATAATAAATTTTGCATATCACGGATTTTTAATTCTTTTAAAAAAATGTTGAATGCTAATTAAAAGTATTTGATTTAAAAAGAATTATACAAATTTAATATGTAAATGAAGAATAAAATTGATTTCCATTTTGATAAAGTGTATTAATATAAGTAAATCCATTATGTTCCAATCATTATTATCCATGATTTCTTTAATAATTTTATCTGAAAAGAATTAAAAAATTAATATAATTTTAATAAATCAGGAATTGCGATTATAATAAAACTAAATTATTTTCTGCAAAATTAAATTGCACCATATGAATAAGAAATTATAATCATATTGAAAATATATAATCATATTGAAAATATATACAATAAATTTTCTAGAGCTTTTCTAATGTTCGCCGAGATTATAATATATCTATATTTATTTGGCGGATTTATTCGGAAATTCGTTACAATTCTATATCTTAGACACTTTAATTGTTAAAATAAGAAATTATTAGTCTGTGTAATTAAATATTCGCGATCATTTCGACGTGACAATCATTTAAAAGAAGTATTTTGAGATACTCATGAAATACATTGAATAAAAGATTGAGCCGCCTGCTAACCGAAGTAATATTTTAATAATATCTTATTAAATTCAAGTGTATATCCTCTTGTGTTTTAAATGTATAAACGATAAAAATTATAAACGATAGATATGGCGTTATTATAAGATTATTTACGATTCTTGCTCTCAATTCGAAAAACGAAATTATATTTAATCTGATAAATGCCAAGCATATTAGATTCAATAATTTACAAAAGTAACTGAATAAGATATTGCATATGAATATCAAGAAACAATAATTCTTATCATTTAACGTTATGAAGTATTACATTTTCGAAACATTCAATATTGTATATTTGTGCTGAATATCCTTCTTATTTCAAATTATTGATATAAATCTCGCGAATTATCTCTGTGTCCAAATCCATTCTTAGAATATCAACGAATGTGAACACAACGAATGTGTCACTTTATCCAGATGAGGCGTAGTCTGATACTTTTATCTTACCGTTACAAAATATTTAACATTTTATATAAGCTGAACAATATTTCAATAAATATAAATTCACGTAAAATATTCTCTCATATTTCAAATTAATTTGATCGAACGGGCTTCCGTCATATATCAGATCTAAATGATTAAAGAGTAAAATTTGACCAGAATTGAAAAAATATTTACAACATTTAATTTTATTATCACTTTATCATTTATTAAATACTTTTGCATCTGAAAATAAATGAAATGATGGAATTTTAATAAATGAAGACGTTTCTTTCCATTTTAATACAAATAACATACATAAAATTGTATGTTGTAAATTGTAAGTACAGTCACATATGTACTAATCATCAGTCAGAATATGACGATTGCACAGCACTTTTGACATTAATTGTGTGACGCGAATATTACATGAAATATTATTAATAAACAGTCAATTTTTATTACAGATGGCTTTTCATTACTTGAATTATTTACCCAGTGATTCGTTTATTATTCTACGCTCTTAATTTGTCGTCTCTATGAAATATTTAATGCATAAAACACGTATATCGAATATTTTTTATATAAAAAGAATAATTTTGCTGAAATATTAAAAAATTTAAAATTTAGCTAGATATCTACAGATCTAAAAATAATTTTGTGATAGACCATAAAAATAATTATGTAGGAAACTCAAGCATGAGTAATGCTAAAAAATTTTGTTATTTTAGCAACTATTATAGCTTGAGCGTCCCACATAATTATTTTGATAGATTAACAAATTATTTTAAATTATTTTAAAATTTATATATAGCTAAATTTTTAGATACTTTAGAAAAATTGTTGTTTCCATGTACTTCTCGCATTTTAAATTAATTTCCATCAGAGTTATTATCACACTTTTTTATGTTGATATGTTAGTATCGCCGAAGCTTATGATTAATTTCATTTAACTTAAAATCTGATAATTACGAGGCATATGATTAACTAAAAATGAAAATTTTGAGCATTCAAGCAGAACAAAAGTCAATGCAAATCTTTTATCAAATAAATATAGTTTCTATAAAGAAAAAAAGATACGGAAAAGATTATATCTACAGATATAAAAGAAACAGTAATGAACAGAAGAAATTGAAGAAGATGAGAAGAAAATATCAAATTGCGACATTCAGAGAAAGGTAAATGCATGCCCTGCACAGTTACAAAACGTTGCGTGCGGTAGCTACTGTTTTTTCAGCGACGATACGGGATCAATGACACGAAGACGAAATAGGAAGAGAAAATAAGGAAGATGAAAAGGAGAATCGATTGATCGCAATAAAAGGAACAATACCATGGTATAACGTGCAGAGATAAAGTGCAAAGATCCGTGCTAGAGAAGTCGTGTTC